AATTTATCTGCTACTATAATTAAACTAATAAAATATCTATTCATTTTTTAGAATAAATTCAGCTTGGTTTGGTATTTTGAGTAATATCTTCTACAATTTAATTTCTATTTAGAACATTTTTATCAGTATTCATATTATATACTGGATTTTCTTTTTTCCTTCTAACATTATCTTTGCTATGTTTGGCTACCCAGATCATACTATAATAGCTTTATACATGAGGCACAAATCCCTTTTCTAGAACCTGACCAGTTTAGTTAGAATGTTATTAACAATATTTGGTAGAAATCACCAATAAAATTATCTGTGCTGCCTTTTTATTAGTAAATACATTTTAATTTTTATTATTTAATTATGATTTCTTTTTAGCCGGGTATTGGTGGCTCACGCCTTTAATCCCAGCACTTGGGAGGCAGAGGCAGGAGGATTTCTGTGAGTTGGAGTCCAGTCTGGTCTACAGAGCTAGTTCCAGGACAGGCTCCAAAGCAATACAGAGAAACTCTATCTCAAAAAAAATTTTGTTTTAAAATTATGAATCTACATACTATGTCTTGTGTGGGTATATTTATGTGAGTGTAGGTGCCCAGGCAGGTAAGAAAAGATTAGCATTGGATACCCTGAAGCTGGAGTTGTAAGCCTTAAGCTGCCCACTGTAGATGCTGGAAGCCAAACTATGTCCTTCAAAAGAGAGTAAGATACTGGGTGTTGATGGCACACACCTTTAATCCCAGCACTTGGGAAGCATAGGCAGGCAGATCTCTGTGAGTTTGAGGCCAGCCTGGTCTACAAGAGCTAGTTCCAGGACAGTCTTCAAAGCCACAGAGAAACCCTGTCCCAATAAATAAACAAACAAACTGACAAATGCCAAACAACAATAACAACAAAAAACAAACCAACAAACAAAAAAAGAAAGAAAGAGAGAGATATAACTATCGAGACATCTCTCCAGGTCCCAATTTTTGTCACTTTGTAATGGTCTCAGCAAAAATAGTGTTCAGTCCTGTATAAACAAACACTGGGTAGTTAAATGAGAGTGGAACAGGGCCTTTGAATATTACTGTATAAAGGGGACTTCAGCTACTAGATCATGGGATAAAGAGTGGTACCAGAAGGTGCAGAGTATCACTTAGAGCATGAATATGTATTAATTAGTAGGGCAGAAGTTCACTATGTGTGTGTGTTGGGGAATCAAACCTAGACCTAGTGTAGCTAAGTATCTGAGGCCCCAGCAAGTTCAGTCTTCTAATAGCAGCTTCTGCTGAACCAACGAAGGTTGGCTAAATATCAGACTTGGTAAGAAGTAAATTCTCATTGGTCAGTTTTGCTAAGGTGCTGGTTTTTGTTCTGATTTGATCTGATCTGATTTGAGTTGCTTGAGACAGGGTCTCACTATGTAGCCCAGGCAGGCCTGAAGTACCCTGTAATCCTCCTGCTTCAGTCTTCTAAATCCTAGGACTATACAAATGTGTCATTATATTTAGCTTCAGAGATGTCTAGGTCATCAAAGTTTTAAAGTATATTGGTATAAACGTGTTGTTGCTGATTCTTAACCTTTAAAGTATTTTATTATTTAATGTGCATGTATGTGTGGGCACATGTGGAGGACAGAGGGCAACTTTCAGAAGTGGGTTCTCTCTTTCCACTATGTAAGCCTGGGGGTAGGGGAATTGACTCAGGTTGTCAGGTTTGGTGGGAAGAGGCTTTATCTACTGAGCCATTTCATTGGCCACATAGTATTGCTGTTTTGAGACAGGGTCATATTATGTACTCCAACCTGGCCCTGAATCTATGATCCTCCTGCCTCAGGCTCTGTGTTGGGAAAACAAGTGTATGTTACCATATCTAATTTATATTTTGGTTATATCTCCTTTTTTCATTGCTAGTATTTAATTTTGTCTTTTGAAGAATCTTTCCCTACCTCAATCTGATTAGCTTTTTAGAGAACAGACTTTTTAAAAAAATCTTACTGTATCCCCCACCATTTTTTTTTTTTTCCCCCAGTCAGATTCTCACTATATAGCTCTGGCTGTCCTGGAACACACAGTGATCCATTGGCCTCTGCTTCTCAAGTGCTGAGATTAAAGGTGTGAACTATTGTGCCTGACTACATTTTTGTTTTCTTCTATCTTTAAAAAAAAAATATTCATTGGTATTTTGCTTGCATGTATGTCTGTGTGAAAGTGTCAGATCCCCTTGAGCTGAAGTTAGACATTGTGAAATACCATGTTGGTGCTGGGAATTGAATCTGAGTCCTCTAAAAGAGCAGCCAGTGCTCTTAATCACTGAGCCATCTCTCTAGCCCTGTATTTTCATTTTTAATACTGATTTTATACTTCTACTTGTATTATTTCCATACATCTTTTACTGAGTTTACCCCACTTTTCTCCGATGTCTTTAAATAAATTCATCAACTGTCAGTCCTCTAATTTCACTACATTTGGGATCTTTTCTCTCTTTCTTCCTCAATTTCATCCTCTTCCTGCCTCAAACTCTCAAATGCTCAATTGCTGGAATTACAGTGTGAACTGGCATGCTAAGCTAAATGTGGGAACTTCTAATAACTGCATTATTTTATTTTTACTGAGTTCAGAGAAAATGGTTTGTATGACAGCATTTCTTTGCTAGCTACTGTACAGTTTAATTCAAAGTTCTTTTTTTTTTTTTTTTTTTTTTCTTTAGGTCTGTTTGAAGGGATATCTGTTTGGGGGAGCAGAATTCTAAGAAAAATGTATGTGTGGTGCTTAGTAATATTTAAATTTTCTAAAGCCTTACTCAGTTTTTAAGTCCTTTTTAAAAAGCATGATGTGTATGTGTGAGAGGGAGTGTATCATGGCATATGTGTAGAGGTCAGAGGTCCATTCTCTTCTTCCACACTTATGTGGGTTCTGGGGATGGAACTCACATCGTCAGACATGCAGAACAAATGCCTTATGTACTAATCCACATCCTTGGCCTTTTTAAAGGTCTACCTTTATCTATTAGAAAAATGAAAAAAATGGACCTGATATTTTTCTATTGATTTCTTGCTCATTTTTCTTGTAATTCTGTCACGTTTTGCTTCTAGTAAGTTTTATTTTTATGTACATATAAGAATTCACTTATATTCTAGTAAAGCTAGCCTTTTAATACAGTACTTTTTTACTGGTTATAATGCTCCTTGCCTTAAATACCATTTTGTCTACTACTAATGTGGCCACAACTGTTTTCTTCTGATGATCAGTTCCTATTTTGTTTTCTGGTTTTGTTATGTTTTATGTAGATCATTTAGAGAACACATAGTTTGACTTTACTGTTTAATATCCCACCATGTTTTAATTGGCCACTTTAGGTATCTGCCATTGAGCATTGGCCCTTTTATTACATTATTTTGAGACAAGGACTAACTAAATTGTCTAGTTTAGTCTTGAATTTACAGCTTTTTTTTGCCTCAACAATCCCAGTAACTGGGATTACAGATCCAGTTTGTCTTTGTTTTCTAAGAAAAAGTGTTACTATGTAACCCAGGCAGGCCTTCAATTCCTCCTTCCTCAAATTCCCAAGGGATCAAAGAAATGTGCTATCACTGTGGCCTGCTTGCATTTGAAACGACTTTATCCACCAACTTTTATGCTTCTATTGAACTATTTTATTAGGTTTTCACTCTTCTAATTTGGAAATTATTACTTATATCCCTATTGGAATTTTCTTCCTAAATTTAACTCCCACAGTACATTTACATTTTCATTTTAAAAGGTGTGTTTGTATTTGTTGAAAAACAATGACTCTGTTCTCCACTCAAACACTGGGTGTACTAGAAATTATTTTACTAAGAATATCTCCTTTTAAACATAACAATTGAAGACTCTAGTATGTCCACTATATTAACAATTCACCATACCTCAGTTAACAACAACCCAAGCTTCAACTCTGTAAACCATCCCTCTGTAAGGAAACCCCTTCTTGCAGTGCTTCACAGCTGAGCACTGTATAAACTGTGCTGTGTACCAAAGCACACTGAGACGCTGTGGCCCCTGCCAAGCTGGTGCCAGCAGGTACCCTTTTTCTTCCACAGACAATTCAAACCACAGACAACCGAAACGATCCCATGCATTGTTTCTAAACACTGCTTCTATGTCACAGTCATTCCAAATGAGAACTGCTTTTTAATGCATGAAGATAAAATTTTAAAAACTACAAAATAAATACGTACAGAATCAAAGGACTAAAAAATGAGGAATATTTTTGTTTCGCAAAGGAAATAAAAATACTTTCCCTTATATTTAGGAAATTCATTTTTATAAACCAGTTTTCTTCATTAGTTATATGCCTTGATCTCCTACCCAAGAAATTTCCCCCATTTACTTCTTTATTTTTTGCAGTGGTGGGCCCATGCAGGCTAGAAAAGCTCTCTGCCACTTATATATTCACCCTGATTTCCAAAATCTTCAGTTTTAATACAAGACTAAATGTAATAATAGAAGGAACCATGGTTTGGCTTTTTTGTTTCTTCCTACTCTTTTTTTTTTTTTTTTTTTTTTTCCTTTAGACTGGGTTCTACATTGCCCTGGTTGTTCTGGAACTTTCTATGTAGACCAGGTTGGCCTCAAACTCACAAGCAATCCACCTGCCTCTGCCTCCCTGGGTGCTGGGATTAAAGGCTTGCACCACCATACCTGCCCCAGAAGCATCTCATATAGCTCAGGCTATCCTCCAAGCTACTATGTAATCAAGGATGACCTTGAACTTCTGATCTTTCTGTGTCTACATCTGTAGTGCTGGGATAACATGCTTACATCACCATGTCTGGTTTTATGTGGTGATGAGGGGCAAATGCCAGGCTTCATGAATGCTAAGTGAGTGCTCAATCAAGTGAGCCATGTCCGCAGTCCCTTGTTTTTCTCCCCCCAATAAAGCTAACTTTTTGACACCCCACTCCCAGCTCTAGATCAGAACACTGAACTTGTAAAAAGAAAAGAAGTTTTACAGTATTACATTCCTAACATGGTCTCCTATTTACAAACCTGTTAGTGTCCCAAATAATGACATTTCCATCAAATCCTGATGTTACTAAGAGTCTTGTATTAGTATCATATTCGATGTTCTTCACCCAGCTAGTGTGACCATGTAAAGTGCATACTTTGGTGTTCAATTTTCTCAGATCCCATAGTGCTATTGTAGTATCATCAGAGCAGGTAGCAAATAGCCGGTTATCAAGAAATCTACAAAAGCAGAAAAGAAAAACTGGTTCATTTAATCTCTACTAAAGAAAATATGACTTTAGAAACAATCTCTATATTACCAATGGGAATCAAAGGTCTGCAACCTCCTTGTAGAACCCTAGCAATTCTGACACAATAGACAGTGCCTTTGTTCACACAGCCAGACTACTAACTAATGGAGACATACTATAACTGGCCTATGTCACTGTTGATTTTATTTGAAACTAGAAATTGTGAACAGGTGTCTGGAGCACAGTTTGTAGAAATAAATAAATAAATAAATAAAGAAAGAAAGAAAGAAAGAAAGAAAGAAAGAAAGAAAGAGGGAGGGAAGGAAGGAGGGAGGGAGGGAGGGAGGGAAAAAAGGAGGGAGGAAGGAAGGAAAAGACTCCAGAACCTGCTACAAAAATGAAAATAAAATAAAAATAAGTAAATAAAAAACAGATTTTAAGGACTTGATTGTTCAGGGGACATTGTATTAGACAAAAGATTGTAAAGATTTACATATAAAACTTGCAATTCAAAGTGCCATCATTTAAATCTATTAATTCAAAAGCATTCCCCAAATAATCTCCAAGGCCACATTTTATTAGTCAAGACTGTAAGATGAATTTAGGCTATAATATAGACTTTTTATAATTTTTTTTACTCATTTTCCAATCCTTAGTAACAACATACAAACAGTTATACCTGACCACTCACTTTTGCTTCTTTCTAATTTAATAGTAGTAGTGTGGTGCCTTTAGCAAACACCGTTACATATAACTTCATAGTCTCTGGTAGAACAAATGAATTTTGGAGTGTCTTCCAATATAAAATTATATATAATTCTATAAAATAAACATCAATATCCACAAACATCACAACCTCACTGCAATTTATCATGGCACTCTGTCTTTTTCTTGTTTATAAGACAACAGCCTATTCTCAGGCTGTCTCCCATCCAAGTACTTAAGCAGGCCTAGCTTCTGTTCAGAAGGTCTGCGTGTGAACTTGCCTAGCATGTTCCAGGTGGTATGCTGTAGACTTCATGGCTTTAATTGTAGGCTTTCCTCCTCTTCCTCAATTTTGTTTTCTTTTTAATATTTAGCTGCCACCTACAGGAAGCCAGCACCCCGCCCCCTTTTTCTTCATTAAATGCAGCCTCCTTTATTTAGTCTAGGGTAGTTTACAAATACGCTAAAGCTCCCCAATCACTCTAATTTTTTGGGTGTGTGTGTGTGGGGGGGGTGTTTGTATGTGCACATGTATGTGCAGGTTCACTTATAGAGTCAGAGGTTGTCTCCTCTATTGTTCTTCACTTTACTTTTTGAGATAGGGCCTCTTGACTGAAGCTGAAGCTTGTACTTCTGCTAGAATGGAGTCACACATGAGTGCCACTGAGCCCAACTTTTTGGTGGATGCTGGTGAACTGAACTGAGATTCATATGCATGTACTTTATCCACTGAGCTATTTTCCCAGTCCAGCACTCTACTCTTCTAGATAGGATTTTCTCTGTATAGCCCCAGCTGTCCTGGAACTTGTTCTATAGACTAGGCTGGCCTCTGAACTTATATTGTAATATTTAACACTGTAGGGTAAGGAGCAACTTTATGAAACTTTATAAACTCCTTGAAGACAGGGGAAAGTACCTACCACATGATTAGAGCTGTAGTGCCAAGCACATATGCTTATTTATTTGATTTACTTAAGAGACAGGGTACTGTATAGCCAGGCTGGCCTCAAACAACACTGAACTTAGGATTGTCTCTATACAGGCGTGGGCCACCATGCCCAGTTTATGTGGTGCTAAAGATCAAAACCAGGGCTTAGTTCATGAAAAGCAAGAACTTTGCCAACTAAGGTACATCTCCATTTCTACCTGTAAATGTTTATTAAATGAATTAATTAAAGAAGTGCATTACCCAGAAGACAAAAACACAGTTACATTAAATAATTATGTGGAATAAGCAAAATAAAGGATGAGTTAGGAAAGTACAATGAGAACTAACTGAAAATGAATAGGAACTCCCAGAGGTAAGAAACATATACGTAAAGGATTGTTGTATGTGGTCAAGGAGACAAATGGGGAACTTACTTATTCCAGTGATTCCCAGTGGTGTTTCTCCCCGTCTCCCTCCATCCATGCCTACTCTAAATCTCACTATGTAGTCCTGGTTGACCTGAAATTCACTATGCAGACCATGCTAGCCTCAAATTTAGAGATCCTCATGATTCTTCTTGCCTCTTCCTTCCAAGTGATGGGATTAAAAGGTATGTATCTCCATTCACTTCAAGGGTTTTAAGGAAGAGAGTAAGATGATTTTATAGCAATTTTAAGATCATTTTGATGATCAAGTCTCCAAACTTTTGGGTTTTTATGTTTTTAAAGATTTATTATGTAGTATTCTGTCTGTCCATATGCCTGCCTGCCAAGATCTCATTACAGATGGTTGTGAGCCACCATGTAGTTGTTGGGAATTAAACTCAGGACCTCTAGAAGAACAGCCACTCCTCTTAATTGCTGAGCCATCTCTCCATCCCCCTTTTTATTTTAAAAGTTAAGTAAGATGAAGAAATCATCTTTTCAATATTTTTTAATAAAATAACTAAAACATAACTATTGCATAAAGGATATTTTAATCTCCAAAATGTACAAAGAATCTTGGAGTAAAAGCTAATAATTTTGAATTAAGTTTACCTTAATGAAAATTTAATACTTTGACTTTAGTTTATTCATTTCCTTCCCCAAAGCATTAACTAACAAATTTTTATATTGGTAAAGAGAATAAATCATACAATAGTAAGAATAGTGTGTAGATGAACACATCATCTATGGCAATTTTTATCCCAAAATACATGCATGTACAGAGTATAAAGTATTAGATAAGCCCCTGTATATGTGTCCCATTCCTCTCCACCTAAAATTTCGAATAGCCTAGAAAGCTATTAACTGTTGGATTGGGATGTAGAGTGCTTGCCTGGATTTGCAATCCCAGCATGTACTTGGGTGGCAAAAGTGGCTATGAGTGAGTTCAAGGCCAGCCAGGGTTACATGAGATGCTGTCTTAGAAAAAGAAAAGTTATAAGATGTTTCTAACTCTACATTCTTTAGCAAGTAGGAGCTCTTCTTGCATAATCATTGAAATCTGTCTATATCAGAGCCTTTCAACTGTGTCCTCACAACTAAGTTGGCTATAAAAGCTCTGGGTAGACCTCTGTCTGGAGGTGCTAAGCTCTCTATTTGAGGAACACTGGAAAAGGGCAAAGGCAACTGAAAATGAAATTTTTTAGGATCTACATCTTATTGTCCAAGTCAAAATATTGTTGAATATTTCAAATAAAATTAGACCAAAAAAAAAAAACAAATCTCAAAAACTCTAAATCTTGGGTGGGTTTTCTTTTTCTTTCTTTCTTTTTTTTTTTTTTTTTTTTTTTTTAATAATCTCTGCAATGGAATTAGAATATTCTATCTCCCTTTATATTTGAGTTTAAACTATAATGAAGATCATTTTTTCCATAAATCTCAGATTTTATCAGCTGTCTCAAGAGCCAATGAGCTGTTCATGAAATCCTAGGTGTCTCTTGTGCCATCATTTCCATCACTTTGGTTTTTTCTGATAGTTTCTCTATCAGGTCCAATATTGCCAATGATTTTGTATGTATCTTGTCCTCTTCTCCAATATCATTTCCAGGGTTTTGTAGAAATACACATGCATGAAATATATTTTCCCTTAACTGGAAATATTGTATTTGTCTTATGTTGTATGAAATATACAAAATAGCCCAAGACCAACAAAGACTGTGGATTAGTAAGTAGGTGCTGCATTGTTTTTTTGTTTTTTTTTTGTCACATTATCAGTGACTATTCTTATAGTTTTACCTTGGAGCTTTCTCCTTTACAACCTCATAATTACAGGGATCTGGATTGCTTTCATTTAAATATAAAATTCTCAGGAATAAGAAGTATGCCTATACAATGTATTTAAATCATAAACACTTTTCTTTCTTAAAACATGAACAGAAAATATTCTCAACTATCATTGTTATTTTACAAGATTAACAATTATCAAAACTAAAAAATAAACTAGAAGACATTACCAATAATGTGCAAAATGACAACCAAGAATGAAACCAGAATATGTATGTATGCCCATACTCCTGGACGATTACAGTGAGGTGGTCTCATGGAACCATGTATGATTCTATTTCTACTAATCTCTGTATATGAAGCCTTGGAGAAATCTCTTCATAAGAGTCATGATTTCCTTACTGCTTAAAACAAGTATGACATCTATCTCCCATGAAGACATGATAAATATCAAACTAGTTCAGGCAGAAGGACCACAAGAAAAGACCTGCCAGACCAGCCTGCCCTATACATGGCAAGACCTCAAAAAACAAATATAAAAATTATTTATTTGTGTGTGTGTGTGTGTGTGTGTGTGTGTGTGTGTGTGTGTGTGTGTGCGCGCGCGCGCGCACGCGCACGCGTGCATGTACATACACTCACTCTTTGGTGCCCATGTGGAGACATGTGGAGTCTGTTCTCTCCTTCTACCATGTGGGTCCCAGGGACTAAACTTCCGGTTGTCAGGTCTGACAGCAAAGCACCTGTTGTCCCCCACTCACTCAAAGTTTTAAAAATCTTTAACAATATAGCATATTAAACATGTACTGGTTTGACACACAGTAAATAATCAAGAAATGGAAGTTAGTATTATTAACTAGTGCACAAAAGTTCATGCGACTTTTCAGATCCTTAACCTCTTAGGTTGCTTGTGCTTCTAAACAAACTTCAAACTCCATTTTCCTAGATGCAAATTTGTAGGCACATATGCTGCGGTAGCATGCTGACGACAGCACATGAGAGCTGACACTGATAAAGAATTCAAACAGGTTAGTAAAATGTCATTTTGAGTAGGGGCAAAACTTGGTACAAGTCTATTCTTTTTGAGATACAAAAATTTTCAAATGTAAAATATTAGAAATAGAGACAATTAAAACGAATATAACAAAC